CTGGGTTACGCCGGGCAACCCCTGAGGGCGCCGTCGGCCGGGAGCGGTGTGATCGCCGATGCGAAACGAGGTGGGATGGGGTGAGCATTCACTCAGCCCCCCTCCACCGACACTACGCTCCCCAGGAGGGAATGAGCAGCGGGGGGCTGCAGCTGAGCTCGCCTGTCCCGGAGGAACCATCCGATTCGCTCCGAGGGTCGGCGATAAGAGGAAAAATTACAAGATGGCGTTGTTCAGCATGTAGTGCCAGCATGTAGTGACCTGTCACTGAGAAATATTCCTCGGCGCTTACCTTGAAATAAGACTGCTCGTCAGCTTCTCCTCGGGGAGGAGAACTCACCAGACGACCGGAGGTCGACTGCCGGGCCAAGCATCCATATCAAAGGTTGGTCATCTACACAATTTTCCTTCTTTGTTCTTCTGACAGTGCTATTAGCTCGCTGAAGAAAAAATGGGAGCCGATTTCCCGCTCTTAACGTAATTTATATGGACCGGGTTGGGCCCACACAGCAGGTGGGCGTGGACTAAATTTTTCAGTGCAAATGCTCCGCATAACGGGATAAACCCACCAAGCGACAGCCTTAAAGGGCGAAGCTTAAACGAAATAGAACTAGCCCTTTTAGTTGTTATAACAACCAATAAAATTCAGTTTTATTTCAGTTTTGGTCAAAGCTTGAAAGAGCCACTGCAGAGGGACCAAAGAGCCGCATGTGGCTCCAGAGCCGCAGGTTGCAGACCCCTGCTTTAGAAGAACTAATTACATTTTGTCTTTCTAAATACCCAGACTCAATCCAACTGGCAGGGACTTTAATATTGAATTAGATAATACGATTGATAGATGGTCTCCACGGCGACAGACCTCATACAGTGCAAATTTTAAAAAACTGTGGAGAAATTTAATGTTGGGGATGTTTGAAGAGAAAAAATTCCAGATGATAAAAGCTTTACCTGGAGTAATAAAACAGGATCCAGACAATCTCGTATTGATTTCTGGCTTGTATCTAACTATATTAATAAAAAC